GCCCGAGGGAGGAGCAGTGCCTCCCCAACCCCACCTAGATACCTGCCACTCAGTCATGGGGACCATCCCCTTGAGCTCCCTGCCTGGGGAAGCAGCGAAAGATGGCCCAAGAACATGGGTCCCTGCGCCCACGCGGGAGACCCGGAGGACGCTCTTGGCTCCTGGCATCGGATTGGCTCAGTGCTGATTGTTGTGAACATTTGGGGAGGGGACCTGTGGCTCTCCCCACCCCTGACACTTTCAAATAAATAAGTCATCTTGAAGCTGGCTCTGAGCTGTCACAGGGGCCACAGCTGGCCTCCCAGGTGGCATAGGAGGTTCGGCTAGTCTCCACCCACTCAGCCTAGGCATGCCCCTCCCGGGGACCCATGGAGTCCAGGTGCAGAGAACGGCTGGTAACCCTAGGGACAGGGCTCTGCTGGACACCGAGCACCCTGTGGATAGAGGGGTCAGGAGGGCAGACAAGCAGGGCGTGCCCGGGGGCCCTGGGATGAGAGCCAAGGGCAGCAGCCAGGACGCAGCTACTCAGGGCATGGGTGAGCTCTGTGGCCAGGCACAGGCGGGCACTGCAAGTCAGGGAGACTTCCTGTTCCCTCTCTCCACCCAGAGCCAGGACCCGAAAGAGGGATGGGGACCCCCGGACACCGGGGGCGGCACTCCACCCCCACCTTCCATGGCCTTCAGGAGCTGTTTCCAGGGGGCAGGGGCAGTGCCCCAGGCTCCCTCCTGCAGCTGAGGGGCCTCAGGCAGCCTGGGGGGGCCAGAGAAGATGGGGAGCTGGAGTACTTGAACCCCAAAGAGGAGCCAGAAATAAGAAGGCAAAGGAGGAGGGTGTCTGCAAGCCCATAGCTGTGATTGGCACCTGCCCCCCGAGAAGCAGCTCCAGTCCCAGCTTCTCTCACATTGCACCGGCCAGCTGCAGGAGGCCCTGTGCCCACCGTCCCTCGAAGACGGAGCAGGACCCGCCCCTCCTGTCTGAGAGCTGGACAGCTCTGTCCTGGTATACCTGAAGCCCCCGGGGCCCTTCCGGTGTGGTGAGCACAGGCCTCGTGCCAGGCGCCGGGAATCCGCCAGGCAGGGGCCAGCCGGTCCTAGGCACAGGGCGGGCCCACGGGCTGCCACCAGCGGGCCTGGCCACCACCTCCTCTCAGCACAAGCCGATAATACTCCCGCCAGGGACCGAGGCAGATGGCAGGCTCCGGACTCCTGCCCGGCCACCATCTGTCCCAACAGTCGGTCCGTCCGGCTGGGCAGCAGCCACCCCCCTGTCCACCATCTGCCGGCTTTGCCAGGCCCTCTGCCCAGCTCCGCCAGGACCCCAGGGAGGGGATGTGCCAGGCTGGGCAGTCTGTCAGGGGAGCAGCACCGGAGCCCAGGCCTGGCCGCCTCCAGCACTTGCAGGAAAGGGGCTGCAGGCACTGGGCCAGGCAGGGGACAGCCAGGTGGGCAGCCCTGAGGCCGCCAGGCAGGGGACAGCCAGGTGGGCAGCCCTGAGGCGGCCAGGCCGTGCAGGCAGGTGGAGGGAGGGGAAGGGGGAGAGGCTGTGGGCATCTGAGAGCTGCCCCCCCCAGCCTGAGTGGCCCCGTGTTCCTGATACAGAGGCCTGGATGCACTTTCTTCATCCAGGCCCCTCCCTGACCCTGCTGGGACCCCAGGTTCACAGTCCAGGGGACAGCCACAATCCCCGTGGGATTCCAGCAGGCCGGCTCCACCCCCCAGGCCCTGGCATTGGCGCCGAGCTCACCGGCTGTGTGTTCAGAAGCCAAGGTCAGGATCACAGCCCAGGGTCCTAGGGAGACATGTCGGCAAAGGCACCCCGAGTGTGTGGGGTGAGCAGAGATCTGTGCAGAAAAGGGGGTGCCCCAGTCCTCCCCTGGGCAGGACCAGGACCCCAGCCCTCTCACTCTCTTCCCAGATGACAGGAATCCCAGGTGGGGAGAGGTGCCCACCCCTCCCTGCAGGGTGTTAGAGCACCTCGACCACCCGGGTCCCCCAACTCCGCTCTGCCCACTTTCTAAGCCGGAGGATTTGCAGCTGGGCAGCGCCACCTGGTGGGCATGTGGGAGCCTGCGGAAGGCCAAGCTTCACCCCAGCCGAGCAGAGCTGGCCCAGCCACAGGCCCGGAACAGGTGCCGCTGGCCCAAAGAGAGACCCCAGGACGCCCACTCATCAGCCTGCAGGCGCAAGGGCTGCGGGAAGGCCAGCCCTTGGCCCGCAGGGCTGCACCCTGCACCAGGAAGATAACACCGCCTCGCAGCCTCTGGTGACACAGCACCTCCACCTGGTCCCCTCCCCCTAGTCCTCGGTGCTGGCATGTATCTTCCTTGACCTGAAAGGCAGCGAGGCAGCAGAGCAGCCTGGGCTGTGACCTCCTGGACCCACGATGTCCTCCGTGGCAGGTGCACCTCCTGGGACACCGCTAAAGCAAGCATCGCTCCTGCCCCATCCACGGGGGACAAAGCCGGAAGCCACTGCCAATGCCTCCCTGTGGCTCAGGTCCCCGTGGGCGCGTGGGCCAGTGGCCTCCCCTCCAGGGAGCGGGCTTGAGCAGAAACACAGTGCCCCTGTCCTTACCCAGCCTCTTCATCACTGTGCAGGTCTGAGCGCAACACAGACACTCCGAGGACTCCCCCGGACTCCCACAGCTCCACACCAAGCCACGCGACCCCCAGAACCTGTGGCTGCAGAGCCTACCACGGAGGGGGTGTGGGGCAGAGGACTGGGGAACCTGACGAGGAGGTGGCCTTGTGGGTCCCAAGGGAGGAGCAGGGGTCGGGGGGCTGTCACAGCGAGGGTACACCTCCTTCCATGGCTGCCCACGGCAGGAGCCGATAAACGCCAACAGCACTGGAGGCAACTCCAGGGCACCTCAGCACCCCGGCCCCACTGCTCCCCAGCTGTCCTGCGGCCCAGCTTGACCCCAGCTCCTGTGCCCTGAGAGTTCCCGTGGAGGACAGCAGGCGCCCGTGGAGGTGGCGCCCCGTGGAGGTGGCTGCCCGCCCTTGCACCAGGCGCTGTCCCCAGCAGAGGCACCTGGGCCGCTGCCCCTTATCAGCCCGGTGTGGCCAAAGGTGGCCCCTTATCTGTGCTCCAGTGTCCCCTCTCGTACCAGGCCACGGCCAGACATCCTGGGGCTGTAAAAGGCCCCCGCCCAGGGGAGGGTCCAGGGAAGATCCAGGAGTAACAGAGGCCACATGCTTCCAGAAAGATCCTTAGCACCCCCACGCCCCGCCCCCAGCCCTCCCTAAGGGCCACCAATGCTGGGGGGAGGGGCGGGGACCCCAGACCCGACCACAGTCCAGGCCTCTGGTCAGGTGCAGCCCACTCCCTCCCCTGGGGCGAGCTGGGCGGGGGAAGAGGGCCGGTGGACACCAACCTCCCAGGACAGGACAAGCCCTTCTGGAAAACCCTCGGCCAGCGATCCAGGCACCCCTGGAGTCCACATGGGTAGCAGAGTCCAGCAAAGATGACAGGACAAGACTTGGACCCAAGGCAACTCGGCATGTCTCCTTGCAGGGTGCAGAGAGAAGTGGGGCCCCTGCGAGGCTGCAAGTGGAGCCCATGGAGGGCTGAGGCCAGGGAGAGGCGGGGAAGGACGCAGCCATCCCTGCGCCCACTGGCCAGGCTTTGGGTGGTCGCAGTTCAAGCCAGCAGGTGGGGTGTAGGCGGAAAGCAGGTGCAGGGGCTGCCCCAGACCACAAGAGTCGCACCTCCAGCACCGCAGGGCCCCTCGAAGCTGAGCCATCCAGGACAGCTGGGGGACCAGGCACCTCCCACTCACCCCTACCACCGCAGGAGCCAGATTCTAGAGGCAGGGAGCTGTCACATGACACGAGGCATTTGTCCCCATTGGCCACACCTGGTCACATGGCCAAAGCTCACTGCATGGGATGCTGGGAGATGTAGTCGTTCTCCTTGGAAGCCATCTTGCCATGGAAGAGACGACTGGCCCCCCACCATGGCTCAGACCCCAGCTGCCCCAGCGCACCTTCAGCCCCTGCTGGCCCTCCTCCTCCACTCCATGCTTCCTCACCTCCATGCCTATCCCCGGGCACAGAGAGTGCGGGCGAAGGGGAGGCCCCGGGCACAGCTACCTTCCCACCTCCGTCCATCCTGGGGTCCCGTATGGAAGCTCCAACACTGAAGGAATGAAGCCCCCATCTCACTCACCAAGTGGCCCACTGGCTCTGCCTGTCGCTTTAGGTGGCAGGTGCCTGGGCCCCCAGGAGGGAGCCACAGCCCTAGGCGGACTTAGGAATCACCCTGAGCCTGTCCCAGTGGTGTCGGGAAGCCCGGGAGGTGGGGTGGCAGGTGGCAGGTGCATGGCTCGGAACGTTAACACTGGCGGCTCCCAGGTGTTTCATACAATCAACAAGGCCTCCCCTAGCAGAACCTGCAGCTCCCTCCCAACCCCAGCAGCTGTGGCTCCCACGGCCATAACCCCAGCTGGCGGTACCACGTGGGCGCTCAGACATGGGCGAGCTTCGCTCTGCCCATGCCCACCGTGCCTGGGACCTCCCCTCCTCTCATGCCCACCGTGCCCTGGGCCTCCCCTCTGCCCATGCCCACCGTGCCCTGGGCCTGCCCCCTGCATCCCCCTGAGCTTCCATGCACTCAAGGAAGGGATACAGGGCTCACTGCCTCCCAAGTACCCCAACACAGTGGGACAGCAGGTGTCCAGGCTGGACCCTCTGGGGACAAGGTGGCCCTCAGCCGGGCAGTCAAGGCCCCCAAGGCCTCCCCCAACCACAGGCTGGAGGGGGGCTCCTGGTGCCCCCACCCCGCCCCGTGGGTCCTCCACAGTCACAGTGAGGGCCTGGAGGGCTGTGAGGGACCCATAACCCAGGTGGATGCCCAGTTCCCCCACCTTGCAAGGCCCGGGGCAAGAGTAGCACGGATACCACTTGGAGCCTCCCCCTGCAGAGCTGGGCTGCCCTGGACTTTGGCCACACCCTGGGCACGAGCCAGCTCGGTGCACCTGGTCGTCTGCGGAGCCCAGCATGAAGCCCTCGGCGGTCCTCCTCGCCCTGGCCGCCGTCCTGGTCCCCTGCTGCCCTGGGGCGCCCGTCCACAGGCAGGGCAGCGCTCACAGCCCCCGGAGCAAGTTGCTGCTTGTGTCCTTCGACGGCTTCCGCTGGGACTACGATCAGGACGTGGACACCCCCAATCTGGACGCCATGGCCCGCGACGGCGTGAAGGCACGCTACATGACCCCCGCCTTCATCACGCTCACCAGCCCCTGCCACTTCACACTGGTCACCGGTGAGTTGGGCCACACAGTGCCACCTGGGCACCGCCGCAAGGGGCCTTTGATCCGAGTCAGGGTCGCTGCAGCAAGCCAAGCCAGGGGAGCCCCCACGCAGGTGCACCAAGTCCCCACAGGGGCAGCAGCCCCGAGGGCTCCTGGAGGAGGTGGCAAGGGGGGCAGCCGGAGCAGATGCTGTCCGGGTCACACTCACGCCACAGTCCATCCTGGTTGCTCACACAGGTGTGACCGTCTCCATCACTCTCCCCCCGGCCTCAGACCCTCGTGTGCGCTGAACATGTGTCCTGTGCCATAGTTAACCCTTGCTTCCCGCGGGGCCTTGGATGCCACGGGCAGTAGGGCCGGGGTTCCTACGGGAGCTTCACCCCAGAGCCGCGCGGGCCCCTCCCAATCTCTCGTGGGCACGGAGGAGACTGCAGCTCAGGTTCAGACACGCGTCTGTGGGTTGTGAGCCCGTGGCTGTGGTACTTGGGGCTGAGGTGCAGTGAGGGTCCCACAGAGGGTACGGTGTGCAGAGACGCGCCATGGCAGCCCACCTCCCGTGCCCCTCCCTGCAGGGAAATACGTGGAGAACCACGGGGTGGTACACAACATGTTCTATAACACCAGCAGCCGACTGAAGCTACCCTACTACACCACACTGGGCATCCAGAGCTGGTGGGACAACGGCAGCGTGCCCATCTGGGTCACCGCCCAGAGGCAGGTACGGCCATGCATGGAGCACCTGGCAGGTCCACGGCAGGGTTGGGGTGGGGTGTGCAGAGGGTGAGGGCTGCTGGGGCCCTGCCCGTGGACACCACCCCCTTCCAGCCCCTCCCTGGAGCCCAGGACCAAGGTGGAGGGCTGTGTCTTCTCGGAGGCAGCCCTGGCGCTGCCCCCGGGAGGACGGCTGGGCTCCAAGGGGCCAAGAATGAAGAGAAGCTGGGCTGCTCGGGCACCCTGGAGTCCCTTGCCCAGTCTGCAGTACCCTGGGGTGAGCCAAGTGCACCCGACATGACTCTCCAGGGTGCAGTGAGCCAGAGTGGAGGACCTCGGGGTGCTAGGTGGCCAGATAGAGGTGTGAAGTCAGCATGGGTTTGTGTCATGAGGGACAGGGGCCAGGCTGAAGGCTGGACGGGATGGGCAGCGAAACAGACGCCTGCCCATCCCAAGCGGGGACGAGAGCCCCCAGGACAGGGAGAGCCCCGCCGTGGCCCTGCCTGAATTCTGAGCGTATGGGCAAGCGAGGCCTGGGGTGGGAGGCGACGGATCCGGCCAGGCAGTGACACAGCCTTACTCCGCCAGGGCCTACGGACCGGCTCCTTCTTCTATCCTGGCGGCAACGTCACGTACCAAGGGGTGGCCGTGACCCTGAGCCGCAAGGAGGGTGCCCTGCACAACTATGGGAATGAGAGTGAGTGGCGTGCCAACGTGGACACAGTGATGACGTGGTTCACGCAGCACGACCTGCACCTCGTCACGCTCTACTTCGGGGAGCCAGACTCCACGGGGCACAGGTACGGTCCCGACTCCCCACAGAGGCAGGCCGTGGTGGAGCAGGTTGACCGCACCGTGGGCTACATCCGGGACAGCATCGCGCACCACGGCCTCTCGGACAGCCTGGACCTCATCGTCACCTCCGACCACGGCATGAGCAGCGTGCAGAAGACAGCGCCTGACCTGGTGGAGCTGCACAAGCTCCCCAACTTTACCTTCCAGGATGTTGACTTTGAACTCCTGGACTACGGCCCCAACGGGATGCTGCTGCCCAAAGAGGGCCGCCTGGAGCAAGTGTATGCCGCCCTGCGGGGCGCGCACCCCCGGCTGCACGTCTACCGCAAGGAGGAGTTCCCCAGGGCCTTCCACTACGCCGGCCACCCCAGGATCACGCCCCTGCTCATGTACAGTGACCCCGGCTACGTCATCCACGGGGTGAGTCAGCTGTTGGGGGACAGGATTCCCTCTGCCTCTCCGGGCCCACAAGGGAGAACCCATGCCTGTGCAACACAACTGGGTGTGTGAGCACGCACACGTGCCTGGCTACGCGGGTGACCTGCAGGAGGCCGGCTAGCGCTGGGGCAGGGGGCAGACGTAGCTCGCGGCGTGGATCTGGACCCCCGCCTCCCCTACCAACAGAGATACAGCGTCCAGTTCAACAACGGGGAACACGGCTTCGACAACGGGGACATGGACATGAAGACCATCTTCCGGGCCGTGGGCCCCAGCTTCAAGGCGGGCCTGGAGGTGGAGCCCTTCGAGAGCGTGCACGTCTATGAGCTCATGTGCCAGCTGCTGGGCATCGAGCCCGAGGCCAATGACGGGGACCCGGCTGTCCTGCGGCCCCTGCTGCGGTCAGGTGAGCCAAGGTGCCCCACCCGCACCCTCGGTCCCACACTGGTGATCTGGAGCCCCGGGTGGGTCTGCCTGCCCTAGTCCCGTCCCTGGTTTCAGGAAGCAGCCAAACTCTCCTGGAGGGACTGCTGTCTGGCACCTCTCCCAGCCCGACCCACCTCCTAGCCAGGGTTCCATGCAGCCAAGGGACAGACAAGAAGGAAGTCGGGCAGGGGCGCAGGGTCCTGGTGGGCAGCTGGGGCAGGACTGGCCCTTCTCTCCCTCAAGGCTTCTCTCCTTCCCTAGGGTCGACTCTGAGCCGCCGGCCGCCCTCGGTGATGGGCCTGCTGGGGGTCATGCTGCTGCTGGCCAAGGTCGCCTGATGCCATCCCATCCCTGTTCAAGGTCAGAGGCCCGGGGTGGAGGGCGGAGGGCGGAGGGCAGAAGGCTACACCTGCCTCACTCCCATTCCCATGCCCAATGCCCACCACACAGCTGAGCCACCAAAGCTGCCAGCCCACCCGGCCACCCATGGGCACGCAGTCCCAGTCCCTCTGTGCGGGGCTGGGCTGGCCTCCCTGCCGAGCCAGGCTGGTTCCAGCCACCTGTGGGCCTGGCTGCTGGGCACCTCTGTGCTGCAAAGTTACAGTGGTCACTGGTCACTGACTCCTGCTGAACATCCACGCAGGCTCCACTCTGGGCCGGGGACATGCAGTGGACAGGACAGGGCTTGCAGAAGACAGACAAGACAGACAACGTCAGTGCAAAGCCTGGCCCAGCCAGGGGCGGTGCATGCCATAGCCCCGAGGGTCTGAGCGCAGGGGTTGGGGTGGAGCGGGGGCTGTCTCAGGTGTGAGGTTGGGGAAGAGGGGGGGACAAGAGGCAGATTCCAGGAAGGGAGATGCTGGGGCAGGATAGTCAGGTCGCGGACACATGTGGAGTCCACACCCTCGTGTGGTCCAGGCCTCCAGAGGTGCTGGCGGGAGACACCTGCCCAGATGTGCCACCCCACCTAGGGGGTCCCCCCTCCCAGGAACAAAACCTGCCCCAGCCACGGGGCGCACTGCTGCCCGCGGCCACACGGCGGCGCGCGGGAGCAAAGCCGGAGCCCAGGCCACAAGCTGGCATCCTTCCCAGCCCGAGTCCACCTGGAGCCGCTGGGCACCTGGCTGCACCCCCAAAGGCGCCTATGCTCTGACCCTGCAGCTCAGCGAGTGCCAGCGTGAGGCCTTGGGCTGAGGCCCGGTGCACCCAGGCCTGGCCGTCCTGGCCTGGGCCCAGGGAAGCCTGTGCCCGGCAGCATGGCCCCAGCAGAGGCCCCGGGCTCAAGTGCAGCCTTGGGCCTGAGCCAGCTGTCAGCCGGCCAGGAAGGAGAGCCGCAGTGCATGAGGGGTCACTGGGACCACAGGGACAGGGCCCGGCACGTGGGCAGCGAGGACAGCAGGCTCCTCCCTTACACACCCAGGTCAAGTGGTGAGGCTGTCTCCCCCCACACACACATGTACAACGTGGTGCGGCCCATGTGTGTGCTTGTATGTATGTTTGTGGTTGCGTGTGTCGCGTGCAGACGTGTGTACCTAGCACACATGTCACACATGTCATGCTCATGCATGTGCACCTGGAACATGTGTCTGTGTTACACATATGCCCATAAACACATGCTGAGGGACAGGTGAGGCAGCAGAAGCTGCCACTCGGGGTACCCAGGCCCATGTCAGAGCACAGGTCCTGACTCCCCCCTTCCAACCCAGCTCCCTGCACCTGCACCCTGCGAGGCAGCAGACGATGGCACGGACCCCCGCCACCCCGTGAGAGACCCGGACGGAGTGCCTGGCCCAGCGGGGAGCAAACCAGGGGATGGAAGATTCTGCCTGCTGCCCTGCCAAGCAGATGATAATAAAGGAGCCTTCAGGCTTGCCCTCCAGCCCCGGTCTTGGCTAAGCTTCCTGCAGGAGCTCGCACTGAGTGTGAGCCCGCGTCCTGTGGCGCACAGCAGGGCCCAGCGGCGGCCCCAGGAAGGAATGCCTGACCGTGTGGGCGACACGTGTCCAGCCTCGCGCGAGCTTTGGCCACTGCTGTCCAGCTCTCACGTACGCCGACGGCTTCTGTCTTTTCCTAAGTGTCAGCCGCAGAACCGGAGAGAGTGAGCAGTGACCGCTGGGGGACCCCCAAGTGCTGCCTCAGCTCTCGCCGGCCAAGAAGCTTCCGGAAGACACAGGGTATCTTCCAGATGCCCAGTGGCCAAGCACAGGGCCCGGCTGACCCCTGACGCCATAATTCCAGGAATAAAGCCACACACTGCGTCCTGAGGCCCCAGGGAGGGGAGCTGCACACGTCACTTCACACGTCATCGATGTATCAGTGTCCGCTCCTGCAGCTGCTCCGAGTCTGTCCAGGTGCTGCCAATAACATGGGCCAGACGCAGGTGTGAGCTGTGCTGCCCATGCAGGCGGGTGCGCACTGGGTGTGTGACAGGCAGCTGTGCACTGTGCTGCCCATGACACGCAGGTGAGCACTGGGGGAGCCTGGAACAGGCAGGTGAGCCACCTTGACCCGTGCGCCCTGAGGGATGCACAGTGCCCCCCGCCCTTCCCCTCTCTCCTTTCTTCCTGTCCTCCGTCCTGCTCCCCTCCTCCCCTTTCTCTGACATGGGGCCATGGACCCAGTCTGTACAGTCTCAAGGGAGACCTGAGGGGACACCGCTGGTTCAGTGTATAAACTGAGTTCCTTTGGGGCCACGTGAGAGCAAGGCCCCCATGGCAGTGCAGGGCACCAGCTCTGCCTGACCAGCACTTGCCATGGGCCTCGTGCCAGCAGCCTCAGCTCACCCCAGGAAACCAAGCAGGGTTACACACACACACACACACACACACACACACACACACACACACACACACACACCTCAGGACGTGTGCTCTGAGGGCATGGGAATAGCACTGAGTGATTCTAACACTGTTGGCTTGGGGGCCAGCACAGTGGCACAGTGGGTGAAGCAGCTGTGTGAGGTACACATCCCACATGGGTGTCAGCTTGTGTCCCACTGCTCCACTGCCTGGGACATTTTAAACAGCTCCTGCTTGTGGCCTGGAAAAGCAGTAAAGCATGGCCCAAGTACTAGGAACCCTGCACCCGCGTGGGAGACCCAGAGGAAGCCCCTGGCTCCTGGTTTCAGGGCAGCCCAGCTCTGGCTGCTGTGGCCACGGGGAGAGCAAACCAGCAGAGGGAAGATCTCTGTGTCCATCTCTGCCTCTCACTTTCAAATAAATAACTGTTTAAAGAACAAGCACAGCACTTAGGAGAGTCCGGGAAGCGGTGACTGCGCTGGGCTGGCTTTGCGTGTGCCCGCAGTGGAGCGCAGGGAGCTAGGCCAGCCTTACCCTCTGTCCTGGTCACCAGGGCACTGCGCCTTGCAGCAGCCAGAGATTCTCCAGTGGGATCCGGGAGGCCGAGCCCCAGCCGCAGGCCTGCAGAGGATCCCAGGCGAGGAGCCCAAGCCGGAAACCCGGGGCTGGACGCAGGGGAGGGCGACAAGCCCGGATGCCTCTCCTGGCTCAGTCCCCTGCGTGTCCGCGTCCTCCGCTGGTTCCTTGGGGGCGAGAGCTCTCCCCTCCCCCACGCCTGCCCACTGAGGTGCGGGATGCCGGCCTCCCGTTGCCATGGTTACCCACTGCCCACAGCCAGAGGTTCCCAGTGCTGCAGTGGCGACAGGGACCATGCGCCTACATCACAGACACGCACCTGCATCCCAGTCGCACGCCCCCAAGGCCCCTGAGGACGCACTCAGAGCAGCGTGCCCGCAGGTTCCTGAGGTCTGGGTGCAGCCCGGCCTTGCGCTGTCCCTTTCGGGGAGCCGGTCCTGCAACCCCAGCGGTCTCCAGGACCCATGCACAACCGGCCGAGGCCCGAGGATGCCCACGCCCGGGCAGTGGGGCACACGAGGATGTCAGAGCCCCGGAAGGCAGGGCCCTCTGGCCTTTGCACCCGAGCCTGGAGGGAAGGACCTGGCCTGTCTCCCAGGGAGCTCTGTGCCCGGCTCCGTGCGGGTGGCAGACTCCCTGTGCCCAGGGGATGCTGACACCCTCTCATGCAGGTGTGGGACTTTAACTCTACCCGGATGAAAGTGAAAGCCAGGCTGCCATGGATTCTGAGCCGCAGGGATGACCAGCAGTGTCCACTGTGGTCCCATCTGGAAAACAGCCCTGTACCTCTGGTGAAGGTATGAGGCCTGGGGCCAGTGCCTTAGCTCAGCTGGCTAATCCTCCACCTCCAAGCACAGCATCCCAATGAGAGTACACGTCCTGGCTGCTCCACTTCCCATCCAGCTCCCTGCCTGTGTCCTGGGAAAGCAGTGGAGGACGGCCCAAAGCCTTGGGACCCTGCACCCGCGTGGGAGACCCGGAAGAGGCTCCTGGCTTTAGGTCGCCTCAGCTCTGATCGTTGTGGGCACTTGGGGAGTGGATCAGCAGACGGAAGATCTGACTCCTCTCCGTAAGTCTGCCTTTCCAATAAAAACAAATAAATCTTTTTAGAAAATGACAGGTCGTCTGGGGGCTCACACCACAGTATGGCAGGTTAAGTCTCTCCCTGCAGCAGCAGCATCCCATATGTGTGCTGGTTCGCGTCCCGGCTGCTCCACTTCAGCTCCCTGCCTGTGGCCAGGAAAGGCAGTGCAGGGTGACCCAAGTAAGTACTTGGGTCCTGGAAAATGGACATTCTCTCTGTGTCTCTGCCTTTCGAGTTAAATAAATCTTTAAAAAAAATCTGAAATCTGATTGAAAGCAGTTTTACCGCGTCCTGATGGGATTGACTGTATGAAACAGGGGTTCCCTTCACGTAACCTTGACCATCCCGGGAACACGACATCTCAAGTGCACTGGCTGGTCGGGGGCAGGGCTTGGCAAACAGCAAATCACTGCGAAACAGAAACAGCATTATTAGAAAGAAGGAATTAGAGTGAAGCCGAGAAGGGGCAGGAAGTCAGCTGCATGAGCAAGGACGGTCCTGGAACCCTAGAGGCAGGCCTGGCACTGTGGCATAGCTGGTAAAGCAGCTGCCTAAGGCGCCAGCATCCCATGTGGGCACTGGTTCATGTCCCAGATGCTCCACTTCCTGTTTGCAGCCTGGGAAAGCAGCAGAGGACAGCTTAGGTCACTGTACCCACATGGGAGGCCCAGGAAAAGCTCCTGGCCATCTGGGGAGTTAGCCCGGTGACAAAAGGCCTCCTGCCCCTCCCTTTCTCTAACTCTGCCTTCCCAGGAGCCACCTCTGAGGACCTGCTGCATCTGGCGTGTCCGTGACCCAGAGCGTGGCGATGGCGGCCGCACGCGGGGACTCCGGGGCTGGCACACTGTGCCTTTCTCAGTAACCAGAAGTGGCCAGCAGT